GGGGGGCTAGGGGCAATTCCTCCATGATTTCCATAATTTCTCACTATCTCTTTCAATTTCATTCAACATTCCCAGTGAATACAACATTTTCTGGCTGTTCTCAGGTGTGCAAGGACAACATCACACCTGTATGAGCTATATAAGGTGCACAAATATCACCATACCTTGTGAGGTAAAAACTGGACAAGTAAGTAGCAGTTGTGAAGTGACTGACTGACCTCTACATATTCAATGCCATTAATGTCACCACAAACACTTCACAGTTTTTTAAATGGTTGTGGGTATATGGGTATACAATATACAAATCTAGAATTAAAATTGTAAAAAAAAAAAAAAAAAAAAGAAAAAAAGGTAGTCTCATTTTCAGCATATATTTGCCAATGGCTTCTAGGCCATATATGGATAAGAGCAAAAGACAACTATCTTGGTTTTATATGCTAAGATATAAAATTGTTGTCACTCTATGATTTTCTCCTGTTGTTCTCCTGATGGTATGTCAGAAAGAAATGAGGGGAGAGAGGAAGGAGGTGGGAGTTCCAGGGCCCTGTAACTCGAAAGCATCGCGTATTGCTACCAAGCGCAAGCGTCTCGATTCCACAACTCGCCCCTTATAATACATTGTAGCCTCTATGTGATATCGCTATTCGCAATACGCGATGCTTTTGAGTTATGGGGCCCAGGTCAGCATATGGCAATTCTCAATACTGGCAAGAACCATCAACAGCCTTGGTTCCACCTATCTAAAAATAGAGTACTTTACAGCATCTTATCATTACAAAGTTCACAGTTTGACACTCTTCATTTTATACTTTTGAGTACGTGAACCAGAAATTAGATTTACTCATACCATATAAAACAAGCATTAAAAATTCTATATATGTTCCAGATCTATTACGTTCAGCCAACCAGTGCCAGCTTTAAACCTCCATCCTATAATTTGTCAACCTGGCAGTCAATAGCCAATGAAGTATCTGTAGAGGAGGTATCCCCCTGCAAGGGCCACTAGGCCAATACATATGGGTTTGAGCCAAGATCTCCTCTGTTTTCTGAGTTCGTGTTCTCGCTGCTTCCTTTTCATGCGCTCTATCTGGTCTGCAGTGCTTTTCAGTCTTTCTTCTCTCTTTCTGCGTCTGATCTCTGCAGGAGCATCTCTGCAAGAATGGAACATCGTGATTTATGGTTCCGTGTGCTTCATAGAAAGGGAACTTGCCGTTTTATGAATTGTGGTAGTTGAGAATCCCTCATAATTTATCATTGCATTAGATGTACCTATGGTTGTGTTATGTTATTGTGATTGTGTAATACATCTCTGTAGGTAACAGGTGACAAACAGGTAATACATATGTCATTAAAACCCCTGTGGGATCCGACTCCTTTTCCAGCCATGTATTATTCAAATAATTAACACACTTTTCTTTCTTACAAAAAATCAAGCCAAATGTCATACAAACCCTGTGGGATCGGACTTCTTTTCCATCCCAGTATTCTGAAAATGTTCATCTTCTTTCTCACTGGATGGTGAACTGACAGCATTGGCCTCTTCAACAGGGCGTATTCTGCGCGGCGGGAGTGGCGGAGGCTCGTCATCACTGTCGCTGTCTTCCCAGCCTTGGTCTGCTATCAGTCCTTCTGAGTGGTAGCTGCCGTTCAGGGTTATATCCTACAAAGGATCATCAAAGGATAATCTAAATATAAGATATTAAGTAATATGGTTCAATAGGTAACACTCGGGAATAATCTGCTCTTTTTCATTTTTAACACTATGCATGTTGAAAAAATATTAAGGACTTCCAATTAGAATTTTTGTCTGTTATCCTTACTTTTGTAATTTACATTTTGTACATTTTTTCATTCATGATGCTTATGGCAATCGAATTTTAAAAAGTTATTATCTATAATATTTCCCATTTATAATAAAGGGTTTATTTTATGTATGATTAATCTTTCTGTCAATCTTTCTAAGGAGGCCATTTCTTTTCAACTCCAAAACATTTCAAGCAAAATTTGATGTAAAAATGTCTTTATTACATGTTTTTCCCTTTGTTAAATTTGACAATTAAAAGACAGATATTTTTAAAACAGATAATTTTTACATACTATAATAATCATGTATATAAAAAATAACATGCAACCATGAATAACAAACTAAAATAAACTCACATTCATAATGCATAAAAAACTCATGCAATGATTTTTTTAAAGAGCACATGCAAAAAATTCCAAAATACCTTCAGATATCTTCGTTAAGCTGTTTCATACCATATTTCAAAGTTCAATTAACAAAACATGCATGCTATTATATTACGATATATATAACAATAGGCAACATCCACTCTATCTCTTAAAAGAGTGTGATGTCATTAGACAATTCAAACTACTGACATTCAGATGAGGATTTTTATAAAACAGATTTTGATAAATGTCTGGATAACAAAAATAAGATACTTAATTGAAGCAAAGAAGTAAACTTAACACAAAAACCCCAATATACAATTTATGTAAGTCAAAATAAGTTTGTAGGGCCTGTAGTATTACTGTTAGACAGTTCATTTTTATAGACCCAAGGGTTCTCTTTAATATTTGATGATCATTTTGTCCAACATCACTGGACACTTGTTACACATCTATGACAGATTATTCATGCCCAGAATTGCAAGAGAGAGTTGGATATCCCCATTTAAGGAAAAAACAGGTCAAACAACCAGTAGGCTCAGTCATTATCCCTTCACTTCCACCTGAGCCTCGGTGGTAATCAAGTCGGCAGAGGCTAGACAAGACATTCATCAATTTAGGTTTTCTATGGATTTACACAAATGGAACTTTCTTTCAATAATAATAATAATAGAAAGACAGCAAAGCTGTCAAATGTACAGACATAAAGCAGAAATTAAGATGCACAAAATAAGTTAATTTGCTAATTTTAATGTAATATTACACAATGCACCACAGCATAATCAACACCAATTTTTTCATTATACGCTGCAGATAACATGGACATAAAGGATATGTAAATAGCAAAGGGCTTCAGGCCCTTGGGATTTACACACTGAAATTGCCAATGAATATGAAAATTTCACAAAAATAAAATGAAAAAATAAATAAATAAAGTAAATTAAAATACATAAAATAAAAAATCATAATCCCGAGAAAAAAGAATCTTATCAGGCTGGTTTTCTAACTCAAGCTGTATATAAGTCTTAACAATCTTTTTTTTTTTTTTTTTTTAATTTGAAGATAGTAAGTAACACAGTTTTCCCTTCATACTGCTTGCAGTGGCAGTGCACAAAATAGGGTTTCACCAATGAATGTATATGCAATATTACATTATGTTAAACAAAACTGTCACCACTAATTTTTAATTTTATACCACAGGTAATAAGGATATGCAGAAAATGTTACTAGCAGAGGGCTTCAGGTCTTTGGGATTTGTATGCCATACACTGAAAATGCTAATATTTGAAAAATTGAAAATTTCACAAAAATACTGCATTTATTTAATTTGGGGAAAAATCCAATAAGGCTGGCATTTGGATTTAATCAATCTGGATCTAAGTGACATAAATCACTCCAGTAAGTTTGATGTTATTAAATCATGTATTTTTTTCCATAAATTGTATTAACATTGAAAATTGCACTGTGACAAAGACTCAGACAACAATACAGGCATTAGTTATATATACAGACACACTGTGTCTGCATAACAGGAAAAAAAAAAGTTTCATAACTCATGTTTCCACTTTTCATAACTTCCAAGTTTCCACTTAACAATCATATGCTAATTCTGCAGAAACCAGGATATCCCTTTTTGATTAGGAATTTAACACCTATGAAAATCAATCATTGTACGATTAAGTCATTAACGGTTGCAGATTTTGGCACTTCACAGTTATAATAGTACTACAACAGTTACTAATGAAACCAGTTACTAATGAAACGTTCAACACACAAGAAAAAGGAAACGGCAATTACAATAAAGTAGCTAGTGACAGCCAGTCTTTAGATTTAAAACTCTGAGCACAGTGGAAAACAACTGTTACAGGTATGGAAAGTCTATATATTTAACCTCTTTTCATACATCAAAAGCAATAAGGCTGCCTGGTCTAATTATTGAGCAACTGTTTACAAGTTTCTGAAAACATTTTTGAGTAGACATAATAAACAACAGATCATTACAATCTGAGAAGTATATTATGCCCACACTGCCTTAAGATCTTGGCAAAATGAAATTCTTCAGTGCATACTTAAAGGCCCAGAGTTTCAAATCTGACTGTTCTAGCACACCCAAGGGCATTGGTGAATTATTTCATTTCCATGGTGATCATAAGAACAAAAACCACCACCATAGCAACCATCACCACCACCACCATCATGTAGCTAAGAAACCTTGTTTAAAAAAAAAAAAATGTACACCAAATAGACACAGAAGCCAGATCACAACACTTATCATCAGCTTCCAGGCTGTTACCTCTTTAAGTTGAGCAGACAGACTGCTGTGCCGCCTGGGAGGGGCTGGCGGAGTGTCATCGTCAGATACGGAACCCTGACTCAGCTCTGCAAACTGCAGGACAAATCATAAAGGCCATCATGCTGTGACATGCAGTAATGTTGGATGAGGGATTAGTGAAGGACTAAGAGGAAGCAATGGCAGTAACTCGCAGATTTGAAATTATTATTATTATTTTTGCAAAATATTTTATTATTTGGATATTTACCAGAAAACAAATCTGCCTTGAATCCCACTTGTTTAGAGATGAGCAATTGTACAGAAAATGTTATTTTGAGAAATCTTACAAAACTGACATTGCTTGAATTTCGTGAGAGATCATGTTTACTTATTAAAATATTTAAAATAACCTTAATGTAAATACTTGCAAAATAGTTCATTAACCAAAATTGAAATCAAGTAAATGGCCAGAATAAATTTCTGAGCTTTTGTAGATGCTATTTTTATAACCTTCATTAATGGGATTTTCAAGTACTAACTGAACAGGTATACTACACCCGTCTAGTCTAATATGGCCTTCAGACATAGCTTTTTTATTTTTCCTTTTTCTTTTGCAAAAGTTTAATTATGGACTGTGGTCGAAACAGATTAAATTTAACAATGCACCAGTGCAGTTTTCTTCCTCAGTGAATACAGCCATCAAGGTGATAGATTATCAACAGCATATGTAATCAAAATATAAAGAGATGCGATAATAAATAATATTACTTAAACAAGATTATTGGCGACCAAAAAGTCTGAAATCCGCCAACGGTCAGAAAAATCTCATCCCTGAATATGGATAGTAAAAACTGAAGCTTACAGTAGATGAGTCATATTAGGCAAGCATTTGACAGGTGACTGCTGTATGAAGCAAAATGCAATCAAGGCTATTACAAGCAAAATAAGCTTATAAAAAGGACTGATTGTTGTAAACAGAGGATGGGTATTACTCTTTAAAAAATGCATGTGTAAGGTGAAATGTAATGCTTACACAATGAAACAGAAAATAAATTAAAAATGGAAAGATTTAATCATCTGCACGATGAAGATCCATGTACTACTATTTTTAACCCTATCCCCTTTCAATCTGCCTTAAAATGCTTTGATCACAACAACACATAATAATGCACGTTCTTCCACTCAAACATTTTTCCTGCTTTTTAAAGGTTTTTCCTTCTCTTCCAAGTATTAATCATCACTCTCCTTTCATGTATTGTTCAGACAATTCATGTAACTCTAAATTCTAAGAGAACTGCTTCAAGGAATTGAAAATCATCAGATTACCTGAAAAAATCATTGCTGTCACATATTCTAGGAAAACTAATATTGTCATTTCTTATCACACGTAAAAAGGTGGTCACGCACAAAGAGCTGAAGTGGCTTAATCAATACCCTGCTCTGCCTGCAGGAAAATATTTTCTTGAACAAAAATTTGTGAATTTCCTTTTAAAGATGAAATGTAGGAAAATTTCTCTTTAGAAATCACCTTATTTATCACGTATATTTAACCAGCAAGGAGTTATAAAACAAATAATAAATATTTCTCTCAATACATCAGTGTTAAGCTGTGTCTTTCCTTGTAAGATGACATCATACTTCAGGTAAGAATGGTAATGACTCAGAATTTTCAAACACCAGCGTACTGAAAAAACATGATTCCCCTCGCCTCCAGGAAATAACCATATCAAGTTACTTATAAAAACATAATTTCTCACCCAACTTTTAATGCAAAACTTTCTACTTATTTTTAGTATCACTAAAAAAAGAACCTGTTACTAAAAAATGTGACCATGATTTTTTTTGTTGTTGTTGTTTACCAAGAAATAATTGTGCAATGCTACCATTTAAAACCACAAGAGCCAATGTCACATTTGAATTTTTGATGATGTTTTCATGGTATTTACCTGGATATTTCCAAGGCAAACTCTATATTTTCTCCTTAATTCATAAACCAAGGGCACAGTTTACACTAAACAGGTGTGTGTGTGTGCGTGCATGAATGATTCAGGCAAGTATATCAATGGCACAGAGGTGAAGGCAGACCTATAAAAATAACTGGGAAATGTCAGAGCCCAAGGCAGGCTGCTCTATGTGGGACTTCAGGGGACATTTAAGCAACACCCACGTATCCGGACTTCTGGATAAATCAGGAAAACTTCATTTCTAAAGGCACGCGATGCAAATTCCCAAAACCAAGCTCACTCCAAGCTCTTAAAGCTCATGACTCATAGTTTTTTTCTAGAACTCACACCAGTATATTCTAGCCTTCTAGGCCCTTTTTCTTGGGTTATAAGATGACCAATTATTGGTGACTTGTATAGTCAAGTTGACGAAATAAGTTAATGTAAGCACTAACACTAAATGATGAAATCAAATATTAAATCAAAATGTAAACTTCTCATTCTTTTTGGATACAAAATATAATTTTTTTCTACGCTTCTTGGAAACACAGACTATACAAGCGTGAGTTCACGTTAACCAAGCAACCCCAAGGCAAAATGCATTGACTTATGAAGCATGTTCGGCTCTGCCTGCTCCACCCACGCAAGGCCAAAGGTTTCAGTCTAGCACCATTCATTATAAGGACCTGCCTTCGGCTTACAGGGCCCGGGTCAAACTCTTCAAGTTATACTTTTTTTCCACCAAGAAAAAAATGCACAAGTCGTTGGCCTGTGCTGGCTGAAAATTTTTCCATGGTTGCCCTACTATACTTACCGTATAGTATCCAACAGAGCCATTATCATAACTTCGATAAGTTAACCACATTTTTCCTTCAAGGTAAAGGCAGAGTACCGCGAGGCAGAGCTGGTTTTAGCTCGTCCCAATTTCTGAGAACCAAGTTCTTGGTACTCAAGAAATAGGACGTAGGTACCAAATCAGCATAGAATTTCCTTCAAACTTCACTACTTTGCCCAAAGGCCAAATAAGCACACATTAGCAAGCTGGATCAGGTCAATTTCTATTATGTTTCTCATATGTTACGATGCGATATAAATATCTTGCAGGCCAGAGTAGAATGAAGTCCAGTTCTGAAGTGAGCCAGGTAAAAGGAAAAACGGCTTGGTTCAGATCAGAACTGAACTGGACTCTTACCTGGTGAGTAATATATAAAAATATTTTTCAGTTGATTTCTGGACTGGCACAAATAGATTTAAAATGTTTATAAATCATCTTAAGTGCATGTTCAATAACCTAGATAAATTTATACATGACATAATATGATATATGAAAAAATTTCAACATAACAGGCCTGCACAATGAAAGTGTACACAAAATATTTACTCACTTCCTCCTCAAACATTGTGTACAACGTTCCCTCCATTATCCTCCTGGCGCCTTCGATGATGGCCATGTAGCTGAAGCGTAACTGGTCAGCCGTCTGGATGAGGCCCATTCTGTATTTCCTCATGTCCAGCAAGACTGACCGGACATCTACGCTGTCTGGGTCCCGACTTTGTTCAATCTGTGGCAGGAAAGAGCCATAATGAGCCTTCTCTTAGCTGACTAGTGTCATTATAGATATATAAAATTTTATCAAAATTGTAACTATATGTTCAAATGAGGTGAAATATTCCAAGCAATTACATTTAACTAAGAAAACTAGTAAGCACTACCCAAGTCAATGCTCGGCAGAAGCACATCATGAAATAAGATTAAATATTTAACATTTACAAATACTTAAAGATGTTTTATACTGGATTTAGTGACAAATCTAATTTCCATTAAAATATTTAATGCAATTTTCTCCCACACACAAGTTGCTGTTCTCCTCTAATTCACTTCAATTTGATGTCTTGCACCACTTCTAATTTTCAAATCAAAATAACTTAGTTTTAAACGAGTCGTGATTCATTCAGACTATCATAGTCTTCCTGACATTTCAGAAGGAAATATGTGCATCAGGTGCTTTAATGTGAGGGGGTTTATTCTTCGTAAGGTCTTAACTGGAAAAGACGGCTTTGCAGGATATGAAGACATTAAAAACATAACTTTGGGACATTTTCAACTTGGATAGTAAACCTTCCAATTTTGTTTTAAACTTCTCAAAATAACACTGGGGGCAGAGAGGAGGGCAACAATAGGTTTGTGTTCCAAAACCAGTTTTACAAAATTAAAGATATCTGATAAAAGCTGCTTATTAAACAACCTTTCAACATATAAAACTCAAAATGAAATATGTTGACAGAGATATTCAACCACAAAATGTTGTATATATATATATAAAAAAAAGGCAGCGATATCTGTTGACAAATGTACTTAAATGAGATTACTAAGAAAATGATGCAAAAAAAAAATTAATAATTATTGATAACCTAATTTTTGGGTCTATCATCTGCCTGCTGTACCTTATATGTGGACTGAGATACAAATCTGACAATAATTTTACACTACCAGCACTAAGCAGGTGTCCACAAGACAGAATGTTCCAGATCGTCCAATCCCAGCACTACAGTGTATCACTGCTGGGCCGACGTCTGCCTCCAAGGCCCCAGACTGGCGAACTGCGATAAGAAAGTTGAGGAAGGCAGCAGAGGATTGTGGGACACCAAAGTCGGGCCACGTTGTATAGTGAAACTGAAGGACCTGCCGTACTGCTCCTTCCTGAAAATGTGGTACGGACACTGGGCTATAAAATTATCATAGTTATTACTTCGAAGAAAATGTTTTATTTTCTTTTGTTCAGAAAAATAATCTAAGCACCCTGAAATCTAGCTACATTCCATTTTTCACAACATGATAAACTATAAATATACACATTTTTAACCCTTTATGTCCTTCAGTGACCAGCCAACACCCTCATGAGGAGGTTACAACATGGATGTTGTCTTAGTAACCACACATTGACTGATACTGTAAGTCTTACTAGAAACACATCTTTAAATATTGTCTTCATATGGTAAATAATAAATACTATTACACACATGTTATATAAGAACTTACAATGAGGTGTTCAATCTCCAGCGTTCTGACAGTGTAGTAGGAGGCTCTCTGCTCCCCACAGTACGTCACTTTGATGTTCACGTCATTGAAGATCATGGCGTCTTGGCCGCCTTGTTCCTCGCCTATTGGAAAATATTGGCTGCATTTTACCTGGCATTTAAAAAATGTGTAAATTCATTAATGTGGTCTATCATAATAAAAAACAAAATCCTTGCTGTTACTATTCAATTTATTCATTCACAACCTATTTTTACAAAAAATTTGTGTATTTTGCTCATCCTTATGGTCCTACACATACACAGATACAAACCATGAAATTGGCTTGACACAATTCATAGAACAATTCTCACAGTCCCATTGTTCAGAACATTAGGCAAATTTCAATTATGAATGAAATGTGACTGAAAAAATGTCAAAGAATTCATGTTCACTTAAGGTCCCCATAATATTGATGACCATGTTTGTGCAAACTGAAAGTCACTTTCAATAATCAATGAAGGAAATTTGATTGAAGAAAACATTTCACAGAATTATCTTTCACTTATGCCCCCTTTTCCATGACCTGTTCCTGCACAGGTAACCTTCAATAATCAAATCTGATTAAAAACTGTTCACAGAATTGCCTTTCACTTACGGTCCCCTTTTCAATGACCCTGTTCAGCATAAGGACGGCCTTGGAGTTTTGTTCCCAGACCATCTGCCAGAAGTGACCTGAGGTGTTTGGGAGTGGACCCTGGAAGGTAATTAACACTTAGTCTAATGAAATATTTGTAATTCAGAGGCATGGCAATAATTCCATCTTTTCAATGAGGAAATCTGTGAATCTGATTTTTTTAAAGTCATAAATTCTTTAAGTAAGAACATTCCTGATGAGTGGTAGCAACAAAATTGAAAAGCAGCCCATCCTATATTTGTACTGTTACCTGTTAAAGTACCAAAATGAATGATTCACACACGACCATAACTTATTCATAAATCTTTCATTTCAACAGACACTGGATTTCTGAAATCAATTCAAAGCATCACAATATATTCACCCAGGACACAGGGGGAGAAGAGAACGACAAACCTGTGTCAGTATATACCGCCTGTTTGCCTGAGGTGCCTCTACGAGGCTAGCGTTGATGTAGTCGTTGGTGCCCGATTTGAGAACAACTCGACTGTGATCATCTGGAAAACAAGAACAGATTTCATCAGGCACAAGCCTAAGTTAAAAAAAAAAAAAAAAACTCTGAACAAATTTTATTGCAGATTTTGATGAATCTCAGGAACCATCAGAATTTTTCCGTGGAAAAAGCACATGTCTGATTCATAAGGTACACGCAATTATCTTAGTGTTACATTAGCAGCATTATTGTATCAAAATAAAACCGTCTTGAAAGAAAGACTTAATCTCTTGCTTTGATGAATGTGGTGTTGGGTTTATGGGCTTATTCCCACTGTCATCTATGTAGATCTATCCAACTCCGTAGGGTCTCAAAGGGAATGCAACCAGATTAACACGCCTTCTTCTGGCATTGAGTTGATTACAGAAAAGCTGGTGATTTTACAAATATGTTGGCAAAATGAGAGGAGGCGTGTGAGTCTGTTAATCTCAGCAAGAGTCCCTGCAGAGTTGGATCATGCTACGTAGATTGATAATTTTGTTGGGAATGAACCCCATGTCATGCTTCGCAAATGGCCAGGTTAAGAGTCTGTGACACACACACACAAAAAAAAATTAAAATAAAAATAAAAAATAAATAAATAAATAAATGAATAAATAAATAAAAATAAATAAATACAAAAAGTCAGTGTACTGGACACCAGAGTCGACAAAACCTACCTGCCCAGAGTCTATATACAACATTTTTATTGGCCTGGCTTCAACTGTCCTGGAATACGGCTTAGCTTGGGGCCAGTGATTACACACATTTCTCATACTTACAAGGACTAACGTCTCTGTATCTGTTTCTATTCCTATTCTCTGGGTTCCTGGCATGCTTGGCTGTGAACTCAAACTCTCTGTTCAGGGCAGATTCATTGCGTATCCTCTGAAACAGGCAATAATCGAGTTGTAATTATTTCATATATCAATTCAAATATAATCCATGCATACTAGCATAGAGTTAGTGATTACTACTTTATGCATCATTCGATTCTTTTGCTCTTGATTTCAAAGCAAGTTGAAATCGAAGTTTATGTAAGCAATGCTAGGTGAGCAAATGTCAATGATAATGGAGATAAGACTGTTAAGCAAAGAGAAAGAGGTTAGGCCCATTTCTTACAATATACTCTTGGCTTCTCAAACCTGTTCACTGCAGCTATAGTGAACCCCGTCTGCATGGGGGAGGGGGCAATGGAATATTTGTTTCAGAATAAAACTAGTATGTAAAAGATTTTCTGTCAAATCAAATGTTATAATATTTATATATAATATACAAGACAGACTTTAATCAACCTGCCAAGAGAAACAAATTGCATATGATTTGCCTGGCATAGTGTAGGTTACTAGTATTCAGTTTTAACAGTGCTGCTTTCAAAACTAACCTGCAAAACTGCAACCTTTGGGGAAAAAAACTGTGAAACACGAAAGAGGCAGCCTTACTAATAAATGAATTCTAGGAAAAGCCTATATAGTCTCTTGACATATAAAATAGACTGTTGGCCTGAAGCATGCAATAGCCTTCAATAAGTACCGGCATGTTTTGCCACCACAGGTACTCTGCTAGAGACAATAAAGAGCTGGTGACAATCCCATTTTGTTGAAGATTCAAATTGCATACATTCATTTACTGTACATGCCTAGAGCTACTAAGAAATTTATTCTGACGGAAAAATGTTTTATTACGAGCTACTAAGAAATTGCAAGGAAAGAGTACAAGTACTTTGGAACGGGTTGGGGCTTAAGTATGCTTCCTGCAGCATTTAAACATTTTGAAAGCAGATCTGTAACCCTCCACCACCCGCTTACAAATAATAATAATAATAATAATAATAATAATAATAATAATAATAATATCAAATGGAAAAAGATCATTTTTATCTCACACACACACACATACACACTCTCTCTCTCTCTCCTTAACTGCTGTTAAAGGTGCAGGTAAGATGTGTTTTTTTTTACGTCTACATATCCTGCAAGACTACTGATCTTGCCTAATTCAGATCTTAATCTGATAAACCCTATCAAACAACAAGATACATGATATCGATATGCTGATTCCTTTTGAAATGTACAAGATGTGGTTGTCATTTAGAAGTAAATTAGTTAATTAGAGATTATATAAACATCCAAGGGCAGGGATAGGTCATGCGACGGCTTGTGAATAGGAAGAAATTGCTATTTCTTTTATGGGAAAAAGTTCAAATCCCAGATAAGATCCATTAAATAATATATATCTAGACAGCTAGGCTGAGACATGTATATTATACAGAAATAATAAAAAAATTATACCTAAAAGTCAAAACATTTTTTAAAAGTCAAAGAAATGGGACGTGTATTTTGGACAGTTAACCTGCAAAAAATCTAAGTTTAATGATGGCAATAGTGGAGTTTACCATGTCACTGTGCCTTTATAAACATAATTGCAATCAGACATAAGTTACCAGAGTAATCCCTCTCCCCAACCCTACCCCCATCAAAAACGGCCTTATCACCTGGCAGTCTTAAATGTTTTGGAAAAAAACGAAATAAAAATTATGGAAGGACAAGCAAAATTTTGGTAAGACCAGTAGATTTTTGGTCCAGCTGGTACAAAAGACCAGCAAAGCCCCAGAGTTTTCTCCATGTCTGTTGTTATATTTTGAAGTTTTGAAGTGAGGTTAATAAATAGTGTACCTTTCCAAATATATTTGTACATAATATTTTGAAGGGGCCACGAATAGTCCAGGTTAAATAATGTTAGTGTACCTTACCAAATATAATTGTGCATAATAAATATTTTGAAGGTGTCACCAACAGTTAGGTTGAATTATGTCTCTATACCATTCTAAGAAGTAATCAAAACAAATTGAAGGTGTCAGCAATTGTCCAGGTTAAATGATGTCACTGTGCCTTTATAAAAATAGTTTTATATTTGAAGGGGCAGCAAGCGTGAGGTTGAACAATGTCACTGTGCCTTTCTAAGAAGTATTTGTAATTTCTTAAGGTGTCGGCAACAGTGAGGTTAAATAATGTCAGTGGCTGTATCTTTCAAAATAGTTTTTTTACTTAAAATTACAGCAGAAAAAAAACTACTCCCCAATGGAACTGTGCAAAATTCATGCAATATCATGCTAAACGGCAGGCAATGCTTCAGAGCTAAAAATGAGAAATGAAGAGCTCGGAAAATGGGTATATACTAGTAAATTGTTATTTTTTCGTGGTTCTAAATAGGGTATACCTTGGCAATAAAGAGAATTGCTAAAACTTCCAGGAATTTATTCTTGTGCATATAAAATATGCATAATGCACTCCATGCCTTCAAGCCATATGCAAACCAATTCAATGACATTAAAAGTAATAATAATGGTGCCACTGTCACCACAGTTGGGTAGGAAAGAAAATTTTGAGGACACTTCATATAATTTTGTGGAAATAACTGATGTATTTGTTTACATGATAAACATAAAAAGACATACTTATTCAGCACCAGATGGTAGCCAGCAACAGCTTTTTATGGAACCTTTAAGGCTTTTAGAGTTATATAATAATTCAAATTGTATCTGCTGCTCCAGATATATAATCCAGCATGAATCATGATGATTATTGATGACAATGCAGTGTGCACACAAATTTTTGTATGTCAAACATTTAAGTCAGTTCTTAACATATTATTTACTGACAAGCTGTTTTTAAAAAAGGTGAAAAGTTATGCAAGTTATATACACAATTAAAAATATAACCTGTTTCATTTGTAGAACTCTGTGCCAATAATTTTCAATGCTATTACATAGGGATGAGAGAGATAAATCCTTTCTTTTTCTTCATGCTGGTTACCAACCTCCCATAATTACAAGTAAATAGCTACAAATTTCTTTATCTTGAAATTTTGAAGAAAAGCCCAACTATTCATGTTTTTAGGAGGAATTGACATTTACCTTTCCTTGAAATCTGACACCATATTTGGAATAGAAAGCTTGTGGTAATTCTCAGTGCATACACAGATGCTGACTTGGAAAAAATATATATTGAGCCAAAAACTGAAAGTTCTATGACAGAAAGGATATTTAAGGATTTTTCAAATCAAGTAAATAAATAAGAAACAAATTATATTTGAAAAAAATAATATTAAATATAACTGTGCTCCAATAAATTTTGGTACAAAACATCTATTCCTTTAGCATTTTGCCACTTAAAAGTAAATAACTTGCAGGGGCGGATTTAGGCCGTCTTCTGGGTCTTCCAGAAGACGGTCAGATATTCAAGTTTACATTAACAGGCATCTAATTTTTCTGTTGGAAGACGATCAAATTTTGAGGATGGATCAACAAAGATAATTTGGAAGACTGTCAGAAAATAGCTCTGGATCTGCCCCTGACTTGTGTAATGCATGCAGAAAATCAGGACAATTATTAACATGAGTGTGCATGAGTTTTTAATAAAAATTTGCCAAGATTTATTTTAAGAGAAACGTGAGCATGCAACAGTGCATTTAACATTTACAGCTAAGTTTTAAATGGTCCTTTTAAGTTTTATCAGTGAATTTCTTAACAAAGGCAGTTATTCCAATAAACCTAAGATCTCGCTTTCTCTCTCTCCCTCTCTCTCAGATTAACTTACAAAAAACAGCATGTAAAACGCTGACTAGATTAAATCTACTAGCAAGTTTTCAAAGTAAATTCTCACTTTAGTTTTACAAGGTTGCATGACTTGATGAAGCTTTAAACATGCAAGATAGATGGAGCTGACCTAAATGCCATTTAATTACTATTATTATTATGAAAATGATTTATTTATTTCAATTTTTTCCTTATGCAGGATAAAATACAAAGCCAACTGTATCTGCTCCTCAGACTGGTCTTCTTAAATCCTATGTAATGCCTAACATATGATGATATTATCAAATCTGCTTAAAACAAATGAACTGATTTTGATATATGTCTTATTGTACCAATCTATCAATTTATATATTGATATTATAATGGTGGGGTAATATAATGTGACTTGCAGATCATCATATTTGCATTAATCACTTTTTAAGGAAAAGCCAGTAATTTTGCATCCCTGCTGCATTCTGATTTTTGCAATCCCGCAATAAGATATGTTACTCTATACACGGATGTGCACATGACTCTCCCTTTCAAGACGGGGGGACGAAGTGCAATTTTTTGAAGAAAAAAAGAAAATCAATTTAAAAAATCCACTATATTGTAATCACAGCTGGTTATTTTGTGACACATAACTACAAAAGTAAAACTGCATCTACAAACACTGCCGTTTTCAAAAGATAAACAAAAGTAAAAGTAAAACAGTGTGCAAACGCCAAATGCCAGTGCATAGTATTTGGATCGTTACTTCCCCAGTGCCCACCTCGTATTCGATTCCCCAGCTCCCGTTCCTGTCGTAGTCTTCGAACAGGCCGATTAGCGACGTCGAGCTCATTTGGGGCTGTTGCTCTGAGCACTTTAATTCCACATTTGGGCGAGCTTTCACTCAATCCTTCTCTCAAATATATCTGAATTTCCTGGCAGCCAGTTACTTGGAACGGAAGTAGAGTACGCATGGCAGGGTGTTTGGGCATTTCCAAGAAAGGCTTAATTTCTTTGCGCACCAAACAGGAATTGTTTTTGCAAGTTTAATTAGCCTTTTTATCGCTTTCTAATTATGTTCATTAACGCACTCTTGACTTGCTTCTATTTTTGCAAGATGTGCTGTGATTCAGAGCGCTGCAATTATTATATAGGCCTATCTTGAAATGTAAGATATTTTAAACGTTGCCCCTGTACATCCGAGGATCTTCTTTATATCTAGCGATCTAGCGATGATGTAGAGCCCTGAGTTTACTGCAAAGAAGTTGTATGGCGGGAGGCAGGCTTTCCGGGCCTCCAGGCAATTATTCTGAGCTTGCACCTCGAATGGTGCTTGCTTTGAAACGGCAAGATGTTATGGCGGTGAGGGGATGTTATTATTTTATGTCCACGTTTTTCCCAAAATCAAGGAACACAAGAACGTTTCTAAAGAGTGCAGATAGCCACATACATGTATCTGAGTATATGAATGGGTATAAATTTTGGCTCTGGAATTTTTCCAAAGACAGAAATATACATTTAGCCTTGTAAAATAGGCAAAACGAAGGAATTTGGGTCTTGGAAATATGCAAAATAATTTCAGATACAATGTTTTATTAAGTAGCAGAACTTGACCTCCTATCATTAGGTAACTAGGTCACAAGAAAGGTTTGGGAAGAAGAGATGTTGAAAAAAAAAAAAAAAAAAAAAAAAAAAAAAAAAAAAAAAAAAAAAACAGAAAAAAAAACATTTAAAAACAAAACAAAACAAAAAAACATCAATTATTTTTCATAATATAATATATATTTTACTTTGCTTAAAAGATTTAATGAAAAAATTACTCCATAAAAATTCTGTTTTGACCTTTATTAGCTTGATCACCAAATGTTGCCCACATGGTTAAAACGGTACTAGCTGNCCATAAAAATTCTGTTTTGACCTTTATTAGCTTGATCACCAAATGTTGCCCACATGGTTAAAACGGTACTAGCTGATCTTGTCATGTATCAACACAGGTTAGTTCTCAGTGCAGTACAGTAGTTGAGGGGCAGCACATCATGTAAAAATTGATAGAAATCTGACATACCAGGGACATTTTTATGGCAGTTTGCAAAAGCCAACAACTAAGCCTATACCTGCAATCATCTGTGATCCTTAATGCATGATCACAATGAGGCTACATTGCAAATCTATACGTCTAGTAGAGTTCAATAAATACCAATTCTGCATTCATAGGCTTAATTCAACTTAATTTGATTAAACATAGCTCCATAATTATCAGCCTTAATTAATGAACAAGCACTTAGTGCCAGACAAATTATCCAGTAGGATATCCAATACATTAAACACTGTGTAAAAATACCATCCAAGGCATGGGATACTCTTTCAGAGTTAGTGACCTCCTTCTAGATACATATTAGCTATTTCACCTGGCGCAGTGATAAGTGTAGGGTAGTTTGGCATTTTCCCAACATGGTAACATCTTGCCGATTTTCAAATGTCAGAGAAACATCTTGTAAGCTATTGGTATTTGTAAAACTTGACACTCTGCTATTACATGTAAAACTTATGCTATGTTTACTCTCCCTTCACATATAAATTAAACTTATGATAGTCAAACTGTCTTTTTTTTTATCTTTTTACAACAGGTAAAAAATCTACTGGAAGAAGGTTACAGGAAGTTAATCAATGCTAAATTGAAACATTCTGATGATGCTAGACGTTCCATTGCTGAACCCTGTGTATATAAAGAAACAGCACTTTGTGTTGCTATCAGAGTGGGACAGGATAAGTTGGAAGATTTATTAAATCCTCTTCTACATTCTGGTAATATACTTATTCTTTCACTGTTACAGTAACTGTAATTTTTACCTTCGACAAGGAGGTTTTGTTTTTGTTACCATTAGTTAGTAGGTTTGTCTGTGGAGAGCATTACACAAAAGGTTATATATGGAATTTGATTAAATTTTCAGGATAGGTTGCAATTGGCTCAATGAAAAAAATGATTAGATTTTGCTGATTATCCATAAATTAATTAGGTAATAAATTAGCTAATTAATTAATTAATTAATTGTGTACAGATTTTGATGACATTTTTAGGAAATGGGCCAACAGATTTATGATTAGATTCTGGTAATGATCCATTAATTAATCCATTAATTAAGTGTTGATAATTAGTTAATTATTTGTCTTGATGGAGGTCACACTCTTTGATTGCTTTTCCATATTTCCATAAGTACATAACACTTATGGCTAATTGTATTTCATATTTGGTTCATTTATATTTATTCATGGTAGATACTGGCCAGTAGTGCTTTACAGAAGTCAGCAACTTTTATCATTACCTCCACCAAGGAGGTTATTCCTTCACCCCTGTTTGTCTGTTTGTTTGTCTGTCATCGTCATAACTCAAAAAGTTATGGACCAACTTTGATGAAATTTTCAGGAACTGTAAGAAGTGGGCCAAAGAACAGATGATTAGTTTTTGGTGGTGATCCGGATCAATAATCAATCAATTATAATCAAAAATTGCTGCCTTGGTGGAGGTCTGCGCTCTCGGACGGAGTGCTTTTCTAGTATATATATATGAAAAAGTCTACCAGTACACACAGTAGCATAGTGGTTACCCTGATACAATATTTAATAGAAGTACATTAACTCACTTTGAGTAGTAAAATAGGGTATTCCCAACATTAACTTTTGCATAGCTTGGTGGTTTGATTACCTAGTAGTAAAGTGATTGAGCACAAGGTAGAATTTTGCCTACCATTGTAAGCTTATGGCCAACAATAGGGTCCTGGTCGCTGAACCACCCACTAGTCAGGAAGTGATATTATATTAACATCTGCATGTACTCACATCAGCTTGATGAAGACATACATCTGATGTTGTGTATAAGCCAATGCGGTTGCTAAAAATTTCAGCTTGTGTTCAATAACTTAATTTTTGTGAAATAATTGACTTTCTTCTTTTATTCTAGGAGCAGATCCCAACAAGAGGTCAGAGGAAATTACTGCAACAAGACATTCTGTGGTGTCTCCACTACTTTTGTTGTGCCAAAAAAGTCCTTCACTGATATATAAGCTACTGGAAGCAGGTTGGTGCAATTAATTCTTCATCAAGATATTCTGCTGGTAATATGTTGTTAATTTTTTAAAGTGTCTTTCTCAGAGATATGGCTGACGGTAGTGCTTACACATTTAAATTCTGATAAAGTGAATCATTGGAGCATATTACTTCCTTATAAAAGATTTAGATCAGCATTGTAATACTCTTCCCTCAATACCTATGGTGCACTTCATCTGTTCCATTCATTTAAAAGGTCCGTATCTTGACACCTTTTCTAGATCAATTTGCACATACTATAGATCTTTGTTAAGATTCATAAGTTGCCATCTCCAACCACTATAAGTCTCCAATCCATATATTAATTACCTCAGGTTTCAATGTTTTTCACAAGAAAGCATGGTTCTTGGGCAGATTTAGGCCGTCTTCTGGGTCTTCTGGAAGACAGTCAGAATTTCAAGTTTACATGGACAAGAATCTAATTTTTTTTCGTCAGAGACGGTCAAAAATGGAGGATAGATCAATAAAGATAATTTGGAAGCCTGTCAGAAAATATCTCTGGATCCCCCCCTGTGGTTATACCATTCATTTTGCTTTAATCTTAGTCCATCTGAAGACTTGTGTTAGTCTGATAAAAGAAATTTAGCCTCTGTACTTTTTAACAAATTATGGCACTCATTAATTATTTATTATCTGCTTTTTGTCTGTACATTTGACAGCTTTGCTGCCTTGTTAACAAGTTGTGGCACTCATTTCCAGGTGCAGATATAGATGCCACTGCCTTGAAGGTCCAGATACCTGAGGAAGAAGGGGGCAGTATGCTTTTTATATACAGGTACAAGAAAACCATAATTCCTTCTGAAAAAAAAAAAAATAATTGAAGGGGAATCATTTGAGTCACATTGTGTTCAGCTGGCTTTTAATTCAAAGAGATTAAAGATGCATACAAAGTCAATTTTTTGCCACAAAAACTGACCAAATGCCAGCATATAGTTTCAAGTAGTATAACTAAGAGAATTACCAAAAGGCATTGTTTAACTTTACCCCAAAATGGTGTTTGAACAGATTTTTCTGCTAGCATTCTATGCTGTATGTCAATGGGGCAGAAAAGTAGGTCACGAAAGTAGGTTAAATTTCTGACCAAAAATTTAAAGAAAGGAGCAGTCCAAAATCTCTTTTATGGCTGATAGAGTGATCTATTCAGTTTATCCCTTGGCATGCCAAATTTATTTGATTCGTATAAGAAAATAGTAGAAATGGTTTACATGTGTTACTGGGAATCCACGCTCCACTGATGCTCGGTTTGTATGTACCTTTAAAAAAGAATGTGAGTGAAACTATATTTTCATTCATGAATTGAAGTTGGCCATACTAGATCTTTTAATGCCATTGGGTAAGTTACCATAACAAAATTCAAAATTTGCTTAATAAGTGATGTAAATCGTAACACCTGTTTGGAGACATTTTTATTCTGTTTAATGAGAGAGTTATGTCCTGCGTATGTTAAGTTGAACATGGATTGGCAGGCATTAAATAATGTTTTAAGTAAGAACGGAACATATTTGGGGAATTTGCTGCAAGTAAAACACATGACACTACAATAAAACACTGGCATGTGCCATTTGGCAAATACTTAGTCTATATCTAACAGTACATGCGCACTGCATGCATATACTTTGGTATGGAAAATAGAACTGTACAATCAGTCCCATAGCTAGGGGTGGTTCGGGGGGTTCGAAAGAACCGCCCCTTCTGCTGGGAAAAGGTCCACTCTGGGTAAAATTTGATCTAGGTACATGAAGTTTTTATGGGAAAAGGTCCACTTTTTCAAAAA